GGGCTTTGGGTTTAGGATTTCAGGTAAAAAGGTTAATTATGACCCCAATTACCCACACTAACCCCGAACATTCCCATTCTTTTTAGTTATTTAGTCCTGCTGACCCTCCATGTAGGATATGGGTCCCTCTTGGCCATCTGTAAAAGGACACTGATATTCTGGGGTGCTGTTACGGAACCGAAATCAAGTCATCATGACATGGGTGTATAGAAAATAAGGAGGTTTCCTTGTGATAGTAAATTACATTTAAGTTCCTTAAGCGCAATCCAGAATTTTGGAGGTGCATGTGGAATAAGGGACACCGGGTACCCATACTGTTTACCGGTAACCCCAACGGCAAACTGAGGAGCCCTACCACCTCTCGCATGACTCGCATAGGATCCTTTCCAGGAGTCGGGGCTTAGGGTTTAGGGCTTAGGGTTTAGGAACTCCCGAAACCCCATGAACCCGAGAAGGAACTAGCAGCGGGTTTTCTCAAAAGTCTGGGGCTTCGCACCCTGAGGAAAACCATTGTGCGGTTACCCAGGAGGCACCAAACTGTAGAACATATTTTGTGGCAGGGTTATTTTCGCCCCCTATATTACATACTCATATGCGCTCCAGTCACTATTGCCCAGATAACTAATGAAGATACTGATATGACAGAAGCTCAAAGAACCCTGAACACTAAACTTTAAACCTTGAAACCTCTATAAACCCTATATAACCCTTACATGACAGTAGCTTATATGTGGAATTACAACCCTAAACCCTAAAGCCATGGTGCGACCTTTCTTGAATGAATTCTTGCTGGATTCCCAACTTGCCTAGCATGAATATGGAAATCTATTGGGATATCTAGGGATATATACGTGTATATAGGGGATACATAGGGTAACGTAGGTCTACGTGGGGCTATATAGGGGATTATATGGGGCATATGGGGGGTATACCAGTCAATGTCCAAGGCCCACCTGTCCAGGGGTTCTCCGGGGCCTCTCTTGACATTCTAGGCCCTGTACACCCAAAGCTGGAGATGAAAAGCTGCTGCTATCCCTGAACTCCACAACCTATTCCGATTTAATGTCGGACCGTGATTAACAAACCCCCTCCTTTGAAAGGCCTGAATATTAGGGTCCCTACTATAATTCCTATCGGAGATGGGGCTTATTAATCACGAGGTTGCCTGCACCCTCCCTGAGCAGCGGTTCGTGTTGAAAGGGATTTGTGACTCTCAACAAGCTAAAGCTGTAAACCCTAACCCAGAGCTCTTCAGACACAGAGACCCCCGAGACCCTGGCTGCAAATCGGTGCTTCTCAACATGATCCCCATATAATTCCCGGTAAAAATCCCCATACTTGGACTCTAAGCCTTCAGCTCAAACCCTCTGCTGCCTTCTGCGTTATACAGCATAAGGAGGAGGAGGAGGAGGAGGAGGGTGAGCATCATTGATTGCTGTATGAGGACTGCTGTAAGGATCCGCTCACTCCCCTGGGAGCCCAAAAAAAAATCCCTTTATCATGCCCTCATCTCCGTAGGGTTCCCGATGGCCGGCTATTCAATAGCCCGAAATCCTAACCAGGCAGTGCAGCTAATGTGAACGCCTGAACAATTTGAATAAGTATTCGGGACACGTCATCCCATAGCGATATACGGGCTACAAGGGAACAATGTCCGCAAGTATTCTTGCCTCTACGTTACCCAAGTCGCCATTGCGAAGGCTCTGGAGGAGGTTCTGGGTCCCTTCACTTGCATCACCCACGGCAGACCCGCCATCCTTGCTTGCAGGAATGAGGTTGTAGGCTTCGGATTCATGGTGTGCGGGTAGATATTAATATATGCAAATATATGGCTGGTTGTCAAAATTATGGTCCCTTTTGGGGTACCCTAAATATTAGGTGCCGTATTATAATAGGGACCCAAAAAGTGACCATAATTTTGACAACCACCCATATATATATATATACATAC